TTTAATATTGTTTGGTTTTTTTTTGCACGTCATTGTGCAAACTATTGATATAATTGATCGTCTAGTTTTTGTGCATTGACATCTATTAATTTTTGTCTCACATTTTGATTCTGTTTTACGTTTAAAAATATTTGACATTGAGCCGGATAATATATGATATTTTTCAGTCAATTTACCTTGTGATAAATCATTACCATCTTTATTATCGTACATTAATGGTACTTTTTTTTCTTACAAAGTATGCTTGAATCGTGACATTGTTCTCTACTTCACATGTACAGCAACGAATCATGCACAAAATGTCCTTACTCATGATATATAAGAAACAGAGGATAGAAAAAAGAAAGAGATAAAAAACATGCTCATATTGCAGAGGCTACAATAGTAAAAGGAACCGCAAAAAAGTGCTTACTTTAGAGAGGTGTTTAATAGTAGAGGTTTGATTATAAATCTTTTTAAAATCGATTAAAATGATACTATTGTGAAGCATATGCTAAACGAAACGTTGAAGTATATAGTGTAGAAATTTTAACTTGCCCCTATCTTCCCTCCACAGACCGTGACAGGCAATTCAATATGCTATTAGCAAGAGCTCACTGTGTAAATAACTACTTGGTCTTCTCTTTTATTTCAACAGGTTACAAATCTTGCCATACAAATGCCAATGATATCTTCATCATGATGGCATAATTTATCGAATATTGGTAAGAAGAATGTTTGATTTACTTTGTTTGAGATAGATGAATTTGATTCTAAGATTTTTTCAAAAATATTTTGATTGTTTTAGTTAATTATGGTGCAGTAAATGATAATAATGATACATAAAAAATTATTCCTCATCTCACACAGTTTGTTTATCTACATAAAATAACTCGGATAAAATTCCTATCAATGAGTCACATATCTTGATGGATAGATGTTCAACTTATTCTACAATAAGTTTTTTTTTAATATTTGCATAGAAAGACCTGCATTGTATTATTGTCGAAGAAAATCTTCTCATATTGTCAAAAACGATACTGACTGGAAATCTTAGCATTATATATTGTTTATTTTTGTTTTAGAGCATGTCCAAATGTGATCGATCTTTCAATTAGCACTCAATTATTACTTTTAGCAAAAATAATTGATAATCCATCTCTTTTCTCAATTTTTAAACGAATTAAAATGATCGAATTAGTAAAAAATATCATTCATTTTCTACCAAATTCTGCATCAAAAATTGTTGAACGTTTTCCATCACTTAATCATATTGAACTTCCAGTATTTTCATTCGATTATTGTATATCTGTTATTGATGTATTTCTTTGTTATTTGAAAAATTTGTCTTATATGAAAATTAAATATCATCAAGATACATTACTTGATGATCCTTTTTCATGTTATCATCTAATTGCAAAACATCGTCAAACATTTCCTGATAATATTATTGACGAAAACAAAGTTGTCTACAATAATACTGGAGAACCTATAGAAATTTGGTTATCATAATGTTATGTGTATTATATCGATTTTTGTTGTTAAAAAATAAAAAATCATCATGAAAGAAATATCTCGTTTAAGATCCTCCTCATCCAAAGAAAAAAGAAACATTTTCATAGAGCATGCAAACCACATGAAATTTCCAGGATATGTTAGGATTCTAGTGAGAATGCTATGGTAAAATTTTGAGCTTGATTCCAAGAGGTTTTCTGAAGATACTCATCAAACAAAGGTAAAAAATAGCTATTTTGGTTTCCCAAATCTATCTGCCGGATTTCAGTCTATGTGTTTAATCCTTTGAGTTCGGGCTTTTTTTTTGCGAAATTTGAAATTTTTTATAAGAAACTTTAAAATATGATCTTTATTTCTTTATGAAGAAATTATATTTTTGTGTAAAAAACCATTAGTAGTTGATTTTTGTATGGTAGTCCTTGAAGCAATCAACAATACATAGAGGTGCGTTACAATCAGAACAAACATATTGTGTATCATGTCGAATATTATAGGATGTGCAAACGATGCATTTCCTTTGAGGCTGTTTTGATTGCGATGTTTGTGGAACAAGCTAAGGAAAATGTCGAGCGGTCAGACGAAGAGGAGAATCTCTCGTAGATGATCTTACAATAGTAGTAGGTCTTTGTGGAATAAGCGAAGGGAAATGTCGAGAGGTTAAACGAAGAGAAGAATCTCTTGTAGATGGTCTTTCAATAGTAGTCGATCTTTGATGTCTGTACTTTGTCAAAACTCCTCTAATTATTTCTAGCCACAAATCAGATAGATGAGAAGAAATATTGTTATGCATTTTGTAAATAACAAATGCATTGTATACTGCCATATCCAAAAGATGGAAAAAACTGCTTGTATCATTTTACCGATTTTCATATACATTCTGAAAATGACATCTGCATGTCAACATGATCGACTGCACCCATGTTTTTAGTGTAGTTGGGAATGCAGACAGGTTTTGCAATCTCTTCTCCAGTTTGTCTATCTATTTTATTTGAATTTGCGTATGCTGTCGTTTGTAATTGCAAGGAATATGTACATTTCTGTTCAAGTCACGTTTTACCAGTTAGACATATGCTCACATTCACCTATTGAATTCTGCAAATAGTAACGATTGGTTTCGTCAATTATGTGTTGTATTATAGTCTCATCGAAAAACAGTTGAAAATAATCAAGCAGTATTCTTCCGACAAGTGAAGTCGTATTTTGTAAACAGGTTCACCAACGAACTGCAATATGGTTGGGATAAATGTCCCATAGTGCCACTGACGTTCCACTGAAAGATCTTCGTCACTCGAATGAATAGATATGCAATCAAAAGCTGTTAGAAGTTCATCTACTGAAGATAAGTCAGATTGAGAGTTATCCATAATTTCCCCAATTTCTTCCTCAGTTAGACGTCTTTTTTCTTGAAGTTGCCATTGTGAGAATGTATAAGATTGGCCATTGAAGTATACAGTTATTATTGAAAAATGAATGTTTTCGGTTCGTTTTGACTTTTGTCTTTTAGTATTCGAACGATAGGTTTATATACACTATAGTTTGGAAACGGAAAGAACTTACTGAACGATATCGACGAGTAAGAAATGCAAAAGAATTATTATGAAAATTTGAAACTAAACCAACAAGATCAAATTCAAGATGAAAACCTTTAATAAATTGAGACTATTTGCGATTGCATTTTGAGTAAAAACTAATTATTGAATACTTTACTTGTGAATAAAACATTGCTTTTTGCTTTTGGGACATGGAAAACAAAATTTCTAAAATGTTAATCTATATATCTTCCTTATTTGTAGAGATAGACATCTGAAAATTTAGGATAATATTCGCCGTGTTACAAGGGATCATATACCAAAGTTTGAGCTTTTTTAGATTTATTATAAGGGAGAAAGAGCAATTTTCCTGAGAGGGCCCAAGACTTATGGCTCACCCTTTATTTTATTTAGATAAACAAACTGTGTGAGATGAGGAATAATTTTTTGTATATCATTATCATCATTTACTGCACCATAATTAACTAAAACAATCAAAATATTTTTGAAAAAATCTTAGAACCAAATTCAACTATCTCAAACAGAGTAAATCAAACATTCTTCTTACCAATATTCGATAAATTATGCCATCATGATGAAGATATCATTGGCATTTGTATGGCAAGATTTGTAACCTGTTGAAATAAAGGAGAAGACCAAGGAATTAACCAATTAGTATCTCCGTAATAACCCATTAATCATAAATTGATGAAAGGAATGTTAAAAGAAATAACAAGAAAAGTGAAGCAGTCCTTTGTCGTGTCACAGACGATGACAAACATAAATAAAAAACGAAGTTCTGTATAGCATCATGGAGTTTCACGGGCATTTTGATAATTTAGTGTATCCACACATCAAGGACAATACGACCGATATGTATGAAGTGGCCCGGAACAAGTGAATAAGATCAAATTTGTAATTCTACAGAGATCACACTGAGTATTTTTTTATCGCATTATAATTTGTTTTTGAATTTATGAGTAGATTTTTGTTACTGTTCCAAGTTTTCTCTCAATATATTTTATCGATTAAAATTCATTACTAAATTTTGATTGATCAAAATTAACAAAATTCTTTTAATTGAGTCGAAATAATGCAAGAATAAAATTCTTAGAAAATGAAAAGGCTTAAATTGTTGACTAAAAAATCAGGCTACAAACTTGTGATAATAGTTTTGCTTCATAATTCTTTCTTGATGAAAAACATAATTCTTTGCAAGCGAATATTTTGACACTTTTTTCTGTCTGTATACATAACACTAATACAATATTCAAATAAAAACAAGATACCTGCTAACGCAAGCAGGTATTGCTTTGAATGTGATAAGATATTGAATCTTCTTGAAATCGAACGATTTTATATTGAACAATAATGAGTATCACATCCATAAGTTATGATAAAATCGATCGACAACATGGAATCATCACTAACTCATGAAATTATATATATGAAACATGTTCTCGAAGACTGATGTTAACATTTTCAAATGACTCTTTTCTAAAGAAATTTTATTAGGAAAAACTATGTTATCTTGCCATGGGGCAGAGTCTTTGATGTGACTGTTTAATCTGGATCATCGATTGCAATGACGGATTTAGTGGGAAGTTACAGAAGTATTCGTTCTCCTTTCAACAGTGTTGTTCTCGATTTTTTTACCAGGAAGTGGTGAAAAATGAGCTTCAAAACACGTTTTATGATCATGATCGCTTTTCATCATAAAAATCCTAGATCCGTCACTTGCTAATTCTTAGCGTTCGTTTTAAATACGCAGATTGACAGTTCGTTATAGATTCAATCTTTTGTCTCTCTTTTTATTTCAAAAATGACAAATGTTTCTATATGCGAACATAAAACAAAAACAAAATGAGAAAGAACAAGTCCAGCTATACAAGCGAAGACAAACAAACAAAAAAGATGAAAGAAAATCAAAGAAAAAAAAATAAAATGATAAGTTTGACATATATGTCATAGAATACACTATAACATCAATGTTTCATGACGAAAGTGTATCAATGGTTTACCAGGTACAATATCTTCTAAATTACTTAACATTGTTGTATCCGTATCATTGCCATCAGTTAAACGAATATCAATTTGTTCAACATGAATTGCACGTCGAAGATAATCTTGATTCAATTGTAATATTTGATTTTCATCAAATGATAAATGTCGATCTAATGATATTATATCGTCACTTTTTTCTAATAATTCTTTCAAATAAATAACAAATGGCATTAATTTTTTTTGATACTTTTTATCAATTTCTGGACAATCTTTAAAATGAACTGCTAATTTTTTACTATCAGGTAATGAATGATTATTAGAAAGATATAATTGTTTTAATTCATTAATAATAAATGTTTGCCATGATGGATATGAATGTGCAATAAATATTGTTGCATGTATTGATGTTAATGATGATTGAGTATTTGTTCTTTTAGATTTACTAATTGTTTGTTGATTTATATAAGATTTAAGATGAAGACGAAAATCATGAGCAATATTCATTAAATAGTTGCGTGAATCAATCAATGATTGATCAACTTTACCTATTTCAATAGACAGAAAAGAAAATTTTTGCATATTAATTCTCTCAATTGAAACTAATTTCTAAAATGTATCATAACGATGAATTTTTTTTGTTGGAAGACTTCAAGTATATTGAAAATTGAAAATTTTTTTTTTTCTATGATAAAATCTTTCCTTACCAACTTTTGGCCATTTAGCATTCATAATTGTTGTTCCAGGATAAAGAAATTGATACAAATAATCACAAATATGTGGACAGATAGGTGCTAATAAAATTACTTGTATTTCAATAAATTGTTTTATTAAATGTAAATTCATTCGTTCAGATTGTAAACATAATTCTCGATAATTATCACGTGCTGTTTGTAATTCAAAAAATCCATATTTAAGTACATCTTTATATAACATTTTTTCATAACTTTCTTCTGTTAATTGGATAGCACGATTTATTTCAGATTCAAATACATGATCATAATAATTATATTTCGTATCTATTCGATAATTTATTTTTTGTTTTTCAGTAAATTCTTCATTTCTATTATCTAAATTAGATGAAAGATGTAATTTATCTTTAATCCAGTTAACATCAGATGAATTTCTTGAATTATTTCCTTCCTCTATATCTACTAAATTAATATCAAGTACTTCTTTAACCCATTCAATAAATGCATAAAGACGTAAAAGTTGTGCTTCAGCCATTTCTTCTTCAAAATTTGCATCTTCAATTGAATCACCAGCATCAGCTAATGTTAAACGCACACCTAAGATATATAAACATAGGCTTAGATATTTTTTTTTAAATATTTAATAGAAGAAAAAAAACGAACCATCAGCAGAAAATTTTTTAATAGCTTGTGATAATGTTAAAAAATTGCCAGTTATTTTAGCCATTTTTTCTCCATTTAATAACAAATGTCCATTAGCACGAAATGCACGTGGCCATAGCTCAGAATGATTGGGCCAAATAGCTATATGATTATATATTGAATATGTAAGATGATTTGGAATTAAATCTTTTCCACTTGAACGTAAATCAACTGGATACCAATATTGAAATTCATTACGAAGATGGTCAAGTATTGCACGTGGAATATCTGTTGTTGAAGATGGATAGGATTTTTCAGGAAAAAATATATAATCCCATACATCGATTGTTAATTGAGATGGAAGAATATTTGCTGGACCTAAAAAAAGCAGTGAGAGTAATTTCTCAGAGATCTAAATGTGCAACATCATAATATCGCTGTTATTGCTAGTCACAGAAAGATTATTTTATTCTGTCCATTTTGAGACATATTTCTTCATCCTCCTTTTAGTTAAATCTCTAGAAATACAATAATTAAGCAATTAATATCTCGTAATCAACTGTTATTAATATATGACCGGTGATGGCATGTCGGCGATGTCTGTAACAATCTCTGATCAACGGTCATCATGGTGTGTGGAAGAGAAGGGAGAAGGAAGTGCAAGTTTCTACTCTATATAGAGTGCTCTAAAAGTCACTTTACGAAAGAAAAAGTTGAATATCTCCACTGTATTTTCATCAGACTAGTTGCTTCTTTTACCGTTGATACAAAAGTGTTCACGGGTCATATTTGTAAGAGAAGCATTTACAAACATTGCTTTGATGTATTATTGTTGAATTCAATAAAAAAAACTTTAGCATTTCATGAGTTACAAAAAAAAAGCTGTATAACTTTATCCATAGCAAAAAGGAAACTATTTTCATTTTTTCTCTATTAGTTGTGCATACAATGGTCGTTAGATCTAATATTTATATCACATATGCATATCTCGTTACTTATTATATTCTGAAAGTTTCAGCCATAAATATTAAGTATTGATAGAAAAAACTACAATATGATTTTTCCATAACTCGTGAAAGCTTACAGTTCTTTATCAAAGTCAACAATGATGCTTCAAAGTAATATTTGTCAATATTTTTCTTGCGAATATGATCTATAAACACTTCACTATCAGAATCAGCTCATTTTATCAGAATATGGTGGATATATTCAATTTTTTCTTCGACAAAATGATTTGTAGTCCACTCTGTATGTTTTACCATTCCTTTTAGATTGTATGTAACGAAATTAACTGTACAACTGTGTTTAAAAAACTTTATCTTCAGTAATTTATACCTAATTTTTCACCATTAAAAGAATCCCGTGCTTGTAAAAGATGCGCAACAGTATAATAAGCCATATAAATAGTTGAATCAGATAATGATTCAATTAAATATTGTTCATCCCAAGGTAATTTTGTTCCAAGACCATATGTACGTGAACATGCATGTTCATGTAACCAACTCAAAACACCTTCAAATTGATTACGTGTTTCTGTATGATAAACATTCATTTTATTTAATGCATCTTTAGTTTGTTGTTTCCATTTTTCATTACCATAATCAAGAAACCATTGATCAACAAGAGCAACAACACATTCATCATATGATCGAGAAATCACTTGTTTTTCTGGTTCATAATAAACATAACCTTGTCCATTTGTAATCAAATCATCTTGAACAAGTTTCTTTGCATCAGATACTTTACTATTCGCATATTTACCAACTAAAAGTATTCCATCATAAAATGATTTTACATAAATTTTATCTTTGGCTTCTAATAATTTATCATGATCATTTTGTGATTGAATTTTCATTTGATTACAAATGGTAGGTGCAGCAAGACGACCATATGGTTCAAGTTCAATAATCTCTACTGGATCATATGGTAATATCATTGACTCTTTAATACCATATTTTTCTCGTAAGTTTGCCTTTTATTAACATGTAAAAATTTTAAAAGAAAAGAAAAAAATTCGATAGTGTTTTACCTTATGTTTAATATCCATCAAAGCAGCATAATCATCTGGTGAATCACTTGGTACTGATGTAACAACACCTGTACCTTTATCTTCTTTAATTGTCATCATAGGTAATGTATAAATTGTTTCATAATGCGAAAGTGGTGCATGCAATGGTAATCCGAATAATTCTGCACCAAGAAATTTAGCTAAGATATTATATTGACCATAGACATCAGTAAATTCCTGATAAGCTAAATTACGAGCTGCACGTTCTGTACAAATAAGAATATCATGTAAACGTGTTTCAAAAGCTATATAATGAATATTTGGATGAAGCCAACAATTTGTTTGACCATACATTGTTTCTGGTCGAAGAGTAGCAGCAGCTAAATAAACACTAGTCGTTGACGGTGTTACATAAGATTTTAATTTTTCTGGTATATGATTATCATGAATACGGAGTTTAATTAATGTATATTCTTGAGGATTTACACCTTCACCATTACTACGATCATGATCCATACATGGTTGATTATCTTTAGGTGAATAAATTGTATATCTACAGAAATGATATGAGTTGTAACTAGTTGATATTAAAGTTATTCTTTTTTTTTTACCGTTTACCAAATTGAATTTTACCACCTTCTTTCAAATGATGAAATTGCCAACGAACAAATGAATCATAGAATGGATTAACATCTGTTGTTACAAATGAACGACGCCAATCAACCTGTAAATATTATTGAAAGTGAGATTAGCAAAGAAAGATATTCTATTTTAAAATAAAACGAAAAATTAATTAATGACGGAACGTTGTCAACTGATCGTTCTCTTTTGAATTCGGACTCTGTGTATAAGGTGGAGTCCAGTGAGATATAAAATAAACTTTAAAGGATAAGTATCCCAATGCCTTGTGTTCGAAGTTATAGATATTTTACTTGAATTTTAGCTTCGGGTATGGTAACTACCAACATATAGAATGATGATATTTTCATCTGAGATTTTGCTGAAAGAAAAGTCTATTTATTAGTAGAATGTCTTGAAAATTTAAGCTCATAAGAAACTTTCCTTCACGAAATATTAAAGCCTTAAAAATAACTGATATATCCACGCAAGATGTTAGAGTTTGCTGTTCTCTGGGACTTTACTAGTTCAAGAAGGAAATATTCTTTTGAGTTGAAATTTTCATGGACACTTTACTGATAAATAGAACTGTCTGAGGACAAAATGTTACAGAGAAATACTATCCTTCGATTGGTTGGTATATACCATACCATAGGAAAAAATTGTAGTATAATGGCTATAATTCTAGATAGACGGCTTAAGAAAACTTATCATTTTGAAGTTTTTAATATTTCACTGAAGTCTGCCTTATGCACAGAATTCGAATTCGACAATGAATGATTAATTGAAAATGTTATCTGGTAAAATTTACTTTTAAGCCCATCATTTCAAGATCTCGTTTGACATGAGTTGGAAAATAAGAAATCCAATATTGTGGATCGGCAAATCGTCGAATTTCATCATTATCTTCAATTCCCAAACTACGCATTATATCCCATTGATATTTTCCACCGCCAGTCTTAGCTACTGCTTTACTCTATTCGAATACAAAAAGAAAACTGATCGAAAATTTTGAAAATATTGCCAAAAATGTACCTTCTTGCTCTTCGATTTATTATCCACTTTGTTACTTTCACTTTCTTTTGGTGTCATTATTTTTGTTGCTTCAACTTTTTTATTCGCATCGATGGGAAATTTCGGTGGAAAACCAAATTGTTCTAATTCACGTTTTAATTTATCGGCAGCAGCCTATACAATAAAGAATATTAAATGAAGATTTTTTTTAAACATGGCACTTACTCGAATAGGCATACCAGTACAATGAAATCCGAATGGAAATAGACAATGTTTACCACGAAGACGTTGAAAACCTACGGCAAACTAGAAGTTCAAAATCGAAAGTTTCAATGTACATATAATTTAAAAAAAAGTAAAGTCATAAATATGAAACCTCGCATTTAGATAATGAGAATGTATGTCCCAAATGAAGACGGCCATTCATATATGGATATGGAAATGTTACGAAATATGTATTCGAACTAGACAAAGAAGAAAAATGATGTCCATCCAAAAATTAAAATGAATCTTACTTATTAGTGAAATAGTCAGGTGCATCGACTTCGAATATTTCCAAATCAGCCCATAATTTTTGCATTCGTCTTTCAATGTCACGAATAGTATCAAGTTTCGTCGTAGGACGTTTTTCAGTTTTTACTCCAGCTGCAGTTACCATGGATGTTACCATTGATGTTGCCATGTGTTTAGTTTTAATTTGATTGAATTTTCTACAATACGGTATATGTTGGAAGCAAAATTAGAATTTGGTTGAATTTTGAATTTATCTTGACAAAGTAGGAATTATAGTTTTGCCCGGCCAAAATGATTATTCTAACATGGATCAAGATTTCTTCGTGAGAAAATTCTGGTTCACATTGGAATCATAATTTTGTCTGGTCAAACCTAAAATTCCATTTTAGTACGGGTAAATTCGAGATTTGACAAGAATCTAGTATTTAGTTCGCGATATGTATATATATATATATATATATATGATAAATGTTGCATCATATTTGAATAATTTATTGTGCTGATGTAAACTCGATTACAGCAGCCAACATAAAACGAACGAACAAAAGATAGCTGATGTAATCACGACACATAATTTTCAACCTATATATATCATATAGTATGCGATCAGAACAAATAGAATATCGACAAAACAGCGAAATGATATCAAAAAATGCAGTTGTACGCGTCATCTGCTATTTTGGTACGAGTCCGAAATTATTTCAACAGTAGTGTGTGTAAAAAAATTATTTTCTTTCAAACTGCGCCTAAGATTTTGACTGAAAAAGTGGCACGTATGGGATAGATGGTGCCATTTATCACCAACATTAAAAGTATTTCTCTAGCGACAGAACAGCAATATCTTATCAAAACGAGATAGAGCGCAAAAAGTTTTCGATGAAAAGTTTCGATTGGTTCAAATAGGCCATTTTTGCATCCTTCCCGCCATCGATCAACAATGATATAGGTAATGCGATTTGAGCTCCAAAAATAATTGATACTAAAATTTCTATCTCTCTTTAGTATTTTGAATAATAAGAACAAGAGTCATTATAAAAATGTTACTACATGTGGTGCCTTCCAAGTGCATTCCTTGCTATTGATTCGATGAATCATCATATTCTGATATGATGTACTGATAGAAGCCGCTTCCATACAGTAGAATTGTCTCATCAATCAATATCTATAAATCTGCAAGTACGAATTGTTGGTCTGTTGAAATATTTACCAGATCAGTACAGCAATTCTTGTAAAGCATCAATATTAAATATGGACTAAAATAGTATCTTATGATTGGTTGTAGATAAAATTTATTTTACGACAAAGAATAATAAATTGATGCATGAAAGTTCAAAGATTGGGAGAGAATACATGTTATGAAATGTAAGACCTAAGTTCTCATCTCATATATGTTGTCAATGTTGTATTCATTCTGTTCCTGTTTGAATACTCTCTATATATGTAACTCTGCTCTTCTTTCGCCACCCATATGTTTGATTGCCTTCCTCCTCTATCTATCACTGTTATTAATATAAACAAACGTACTTAGCCAGATTAAATTCTTTCGTTCAATAAGGAGATCAAGAATAAATTGAACATCCTCATTATGCTGGGTATTCTTGTACTCAAGTTTGTCACAATATAGAAAAAAGTCTGCGAGAGAGAGTATTATATTGCGAAAATCTTTCCACTATTGTGCTGTAAAAAAATATTGTAGTATTGTGATGGTGCGCAATTTATCTTCCTTCATTCTGTCAATCTCTCACAATGCGTATATGTCAAACTTGACCGTTGTATTCAATTCAAGCTTAAACTTTCAATCAAAATCAATCAAATTATTGTCAATGTATGTAGACAATAGAAAGTTAAAAACTAAAACTTTAATAGAAATATTTCAATGCAATGCAAGTTTGAAGTTTAATCCTATTATTTGATGATTGTTCTACAACCACACTGAAATATTCACCCAAATATCACTTCTTCTGAGTTACAATGATCGTCCAACAAAAAAAATGTAAACACAATAATATCATCATCGATTGACAAAGACAAAATACCCATCGCTAATCGCGAAATATTGCAAATGAGTTTCTTCGTATGTCATCTGTAAAAACTGGCAATTTTTTTTAATATTCATGATGATCATTGAAAACAAATGAAGTGTCTTCATTTGCAATGACTGATTTCAAAGAAACATCCAATGAATTTCAAAACTCAGAACTTGCTCATAACTATTACCATGATTTCAAATGATGAAATCTTTTTGAACACAAAGAATTCGCTTTTTTTCTACAAACAATGTTATAATATATATCCTTCAATCAACAACAAGTGTGAAATAGCAAAGAACATATAATTGTTCACATATACATTTGAATAACCGAGATGAAAGATTCTTCAAATGTATCTGACAGATAAATAGTGAGTTTGTTCCTATTTGTGTGACTATCCCTCAATTATAAAGATGAGGTCAGTAATGTGAGAAATTGAAAAAGATCGACAATATGTATCAAGCTCCTTTTCTCCATACAACCCGTTATATCTGAAGAAATACAGGATATAATCGTGCGAAACTGAGCGAAAAATGATAGAGATAGAATTGCAACATGAAAATCCAAATAGTACCAAAGTTTTTGTTCGATTTGGACTGTGTGACGGTTTTACTGAATTTCCTTTCGAGTTTACTAGTTTAACAATCATACAAACAAATGAAAGTACCTCGTAATATTTCGTGACTTATGTGAAACAAATAAATCCTATATATAGTTCTGTAGCGTAATTTGTGATGCATGCAATAGTAAAAAGGGAGCTCCGTTTTCCTCGAGTTTTGATCTGACGATAGTACACATTGGTTATAATGCTTAAAGAATGTTTTATGATACTCAAAAGTATTATGGTCTCTGGGATTTTCTGAGATTAACTTGTGCAGCTGATATTTCAAACTTAATATGATACATTTCGAAATACGTTGCAATTTTCTATATTCAATTCTTCGCATGGTGGGTGTACGTTTTAGTGTGAGAATAAAGAATACCGAGGCTGAAAATCACATCTATCCAGCAGTACCTACGATCCAAAAATTGGTAATTCAAGAAAAATTAAGGAATTCAAGCTGCTATAAGAACTCCATCACTTAAGATCAAACCGTATCGCGGCATCCACAGAAATCAAGCAATTCAGACAATTCAATAGAATTTCTTGAATTCCTTCAGTTCCAAGGCAATCTCGATAGTGAGGGTGATAGTAACCTTCTCTGAAGTAGTGCAGTGGAATTTAAGCAATTCAAGAAAATCAAGGGATTCAATATAATTGCTTGAATTCCTTCATTTCCGTGGATCCACGGTACTGTTTAACCCTAAAGTGATGCAATTGTGATATCAGCTCGAATTCCTTAAGTTTCTTAATTTTCCTTGAATTGCAAATTTCTGGATTCTAGGTATATCTCTCTCGGTGCGGCTGGTCGTATTCGAAAGAATATAGCATAACTGCGCAAAAATGACCAACAAATGATAGAGAAGTAATTCAAATATAAAAGTTGAATTGTAGTGCATGGGATGGGATAGAGAAAGCCACGCTGCCTCGAATTTCGATGCTTCAACGGTATACACACTGATTATAATATGGAGGGGATCTTATATATGATAATCAAAGGTATTATGATTTCTAGGGTCTTTGTCGATAAAGTTATGCAGCTGCTATTTCAAACTCACTTCGAGCTACATCGAACTACTCTTCAATCTATCTATATTCAATACTTTTCTTCCTGGATGTAAAGGTTCGAATATGAGAGTAAAGAATACCAAAACACATATCGAATGAATTCCTGATGTATTTGAAAAAGTGAACAGTCATACAAGTAGAACTCAATTGTGTACAATTTTTATGAAAGTTTTACAATCGTACTCCATTGTTCTGTGACACAAAGTGAAACATGTTGAAGTGCCATATAATCAAACACTAGGGTAGACCTATCGAAACAATCAATTTTTCATGTATGAAAACAACAACGATAAAAACTATTCAAAATGGAAAATCGTAATGTCTTCAAGTGTTTTAGTATTTCTCAAGCAACAGAACCATGGGAAGAGCTTTCAACATATCAAAATGTGAGTGAAACGTGACTTTCTACGTATCATTCGATGTGCCATATGACCTCTGAGAAGCCAAATATAAAATTTATTCTTTCGATATCGATCACTAAATCCAACAATGTCCTTCCACAGACAATCTATGCTTTCTAGTAGTGACGACTCAATGCTGTTAATAAAAGTCTACCATGAATTATCTCTTAATCTTTGAACTAATTGTTAATGCATTTGAGGACGCCATAAGCTATATGACAAAGGATGAATAAGGCTATCAAGATCACGCCAATCCAATTTGGTCCATCATTATCAGTGTCTGTTTCGGTATAGCTGTTGATATTTGAAGACGAAGGATCCGGATCGTAGCAATTGCCATCAGGTGCACACTGAGAATTATCTGTAAATAGAAAAAGAAGCAAACTGCATGTCAGTGCAAATTTTGATACGATTAAGATGTGAAATTCATCATATGAAGGATGTAGAGTCCAGTCAAGAAATTGAATTCAAACATGGCTTCAATTTAAGTCAGCTCATTCACAAAAATAATTATATCAAATTCATTTATTGAGTTGATCGTTTTGTTGTGATAATTTTCTCAAACACTTTCGAGTCCCTAAAGCTCAACTATTCTTTGTAAAACAATTGTTTAATTTAAAGAAAAAAATCAAGTCAATTCATTAAAAGAAGTCTCGTTTTCACTTTGTTCAGAACTTCACTTACATGAACAACATGTATCTTCATGATTTGGTGACTTGCAGCATTTACCTTAGAAAAAAACTCAATAAGTAAAACAGAAAAAAGAAAGTACTTTTGTGATTCATCTACCTGGACCATTATGATATGCCTTTTCACAACTGACATTCTTTGAACAGCACAATATACAGAAGCGCACTGCTTCTTCTGAATGTTCTTGACACCAAACACAAATCACAAAGCCAATACAATAGAATACGAAGAAATTCTTGAACATTTTTTGTATTATCGATTGCACTACTTGACGTGAAGTATGGTCGAAAAAGAACGACAGCACAGAAAAATTATTTCTTTAGTGGTGGGCTCTGTTTGATGATTGGAAGTAAAAACGAACGAAAAAAAGAACGAAATA